AAAAATTCTTGACTATTCCCAATCTCGGCAGGTACAAGTCAGCAGCAAGCTCAGTATGTGCTGAACTTCCAAATAAATGCTTGAATTCACTGCTCAGATGGCATGGGATAATCTGTCTGTCCTTGGACACAGCTCCAGCTGTGACCTTTCTCTTCTAGACAAAGTGCTGATGAGGTTCAAACCAAAAAACTCCTCTTTATTCCAGCTTCCTTCCTTCTCCACACACATATTCATCCTCTGCCTTGCAAAAATGACTGAACAACCAAGTCTGATCTGAAAGGTTGTTTGAAGACGTATTTATAAAAAAGTGAAAAGAGATATATTGCCTTATTTCCATTATAAGCCTTTAATTTAGATTCATACTGAGCGGGGTTCATTTACAAAAAAAAACCCAAACTCACTTGGTTTTTGCTTGAAAATCCCATTGAAATCTACATTTTTCTGTGCAGAAATGTCATTTTGAGCCTATAAATATACATCCTTTTTATTAAACTTGAGTTTCATACAGACACAGGAAACTTGTTTTGGCCAGCTTTCATGTGGAGATATAAAACAATGTGCTAGATATAAAAATATCCACCCAGTGCTTTTGTCCTTGTGGGATTGTTTCCTGCTGCATTTCTACACCTTGGTCCACCTCTTTTTAAGATGTAAAAGAACTGAACTATTGATTGGTATTTCACACTCTAAGGACACAGTAGCAAGAAAATAGTGGATCAAAGTGAATCTGTGCTGAGCTTTATCCCCTGCTTCCTTATTATCAAAGCATTTGTTCAACTTTAAGCATATGAATACTCTTATTTATATGCAGCCAAGAACTTAAACTCATGTATAAGTTTAATGACGTCATTGAGATCACTGGGGATTAAGGATAAAAAAGTGCTATGTATGACTAATCTACTAAGTTATTTTACTACACTCAGGTTTCATTTCTTTGCCCCGTCCAAAACACCTATTCCTTTGTAGTAATACACCTTGCTCAGTAGTTCCTTTACTATTAGCTCCTTGAGCTAGAATACAGTTAGCTATTTTAACTAGTCTTCTCACTTTCAAATTCTTAATGTAATAAATAAACAAACCAATAAGGAATATTAGGAAAATTATTTTGAAAGTTATCTAAAAGCTCTCAGGCTGTTTTTTCTGACTTCTTAATTCAGAAATTGGCTGCTGTTCTTGCTGAAGAAGTATATTATAAACTGAAATATTCTGCTAGCCCTTTTCCCATATTTTATTAAGATGGGAAGTAAGCCAAACCCCTTTACTCTTTGCTGAGTAAAAAACTGGCTGGATGGCTGGGCCCAAAGAGTTGTGGTGAATGGAGTTAAATCCAGTTGGTGGCTGGCCACAAGTGGTGTAACCCAGGGCTCGGTATTGGGGCTGGTTCTGTTTAATATCTTTATCAGTGATCTGGATGAGGGCATTGAGTGCGCCCTCAGTAAGTTTGCAGATGCCACCAAGTTGGGTGGGAGTGTTGATCTGCTTGAGGGTAGGAAGGCCCTGCAGAGGGATCTGGACAGGCTGGATCGATGGGACGAGGTCAACTGTATGAGGTTCAACAAGGCCAAGTGCCGGGTCCTGCACTTGGGTCACAACAACCCTGTGCAATGCTTGGGGAGGAGCAGCTGGAAAGCTGCCCGACAGAAAAGGACCTGGGGCTGGTGGTCAACAGCTGGCTGAACATGAGCCAGCAGTGTGCCCAGGTGGCCAAGAAGGCCAACAGCATCCTGGCTTGTGTCAGGAATAGTGTGGCCAGCAGGAGCAGGGAGGTGATTGTCCCCCTGTACTCGGCGCTGGTGAGGCCGCACCTGGAATACTGTGTCCAGTTTTGGGCCCCTCAGTACAAGAAGGACATTGAGGTGCTGGAGTGTGTCCAGAAAAGGGCAACAAGGCTGGTGAAGGGTCTGGAGCACAGGGCTGATGGGGAGCGGCCGAGGGAGCTGGGGGTGTTCAGCCTGGAGAAGAGGACGCTGAGGGGAGACCTTATCACACTCTACAACTGCCTGAAAGGAGGGTGTAGTGAGGTGGGGGTTGGTCTCTTCTCCCAAGTAACAAGTGATAGGACAAGAGGAAATGGCCTCAAGTTGCATCAAGGGAGGTTTAGATTGGATATTAGGAAAAAATTTCTTCACAGAAAGGGTTGTCAAGCATTGGAAGAGGCTGCCCAGGGAAGTGGTTGAGTCCCCATCGCTGGAGGTATTTAAGATGCTTAGATGTGGTGCTTAGGTGCATGTTTAGTGGTGGACTTGGCAGTGCTAGGCTAACTGTTGGACTTGGTGATCTTAAGGTCTTTTCCAAGCTAAATGATTATAGCCTTCTCATCATGGCTGCAGGTCAAAAGATACAGCCATTTCTGGAATAAGCATATAACTCACTCTTGTAACTTGGGCTTCTAGTTTCTCACAGAGAAGAAACAATTCCTGGCATGTGAATAAGAAGAATGACCACAACACGGAAGACCACACTAGTATAGAAACTGTCCCTAGCTCAGGGATGCCTGCCTGACCTCCATGCTCATCTTCAAACCAGTCATTTGCTGTACATTTATCTGCTGGAAGCAAATAATTAGTTAAAAATAACTAGATTCTGTTATCAAGAAACAGATAATTGTAATTTCTAGAAACAGCAGTGTAATTGCTTCTCTTGCATTGTAGGTACAATTTGAAGAGAATATTTTCAAGATTGAATGCATACAGGAATATGTATCGTAGCCATATATTTGGCTCGTGAACCAAGGTGATAGTCACAAGAAACAGATGTGGCTTTCTATTCGAAGGTTGTGGAGGTCCAGCAGTTCTTCATTACACTATCCTGGTGACATGAGTTCCCTTATGCCGGTGGAGGACTGGCTGTAGTGAACATTTCCAAAATCCACACACATTATTTTGTGCCTACACTTTATATTAGACTTAAATCTAGATCTTTAAGGACTGCAAGATTTCAAGATGGAAAGTTTGTGGGATGAATTTTTGGGCAGTGTAGTCAATGAAATTATTATCATTATGGCAACTGTGACATTATGAAAATGAATCCCACAATTTACTTATTTTTAAACAAATGCCTTTTTTTTAATACTGAACTTGCTGTTTCATAATTTATTGTGCCACCCCTAATTTTTGAGTTTATTTTTGAATTACTTGTTCCTTATTTATTCATCTCATAGCCTCATTACTGATGACCCAGAAGAAACTGGAGACTCTTACCTTCTTTAGTCTTTCCTTATACGAAAGCAGTTCCAGACTTAGTAATCCTCATGTTTCCATGTACATTTCCATCCTACACCATTTCTTCTTTCAGATGAGTTGATAAAAACTGCATGAAGTATTCAAATATAGGTGCATCCCTGATGTATAGTATCATTCAATATTTTTGTCTTTCTCTATTAAAACTCTTCTCATCAATCTTAACATTGTATTAACTTTATGACACTAGCCGAGCACTGAACTGGTTGTTTTTTGGTTCTTGTTTTCATGTGCATTACTTTTCATTTATCACCATTAAATTTTATCATGCTACCATAAAGCTATTTAGAGCATAGATAGGCCGCTTCAAAAGGCAAATAATCCCTCCTAAAGTAGGACTCTAATTCAAGCGAACTAAGTTGCCCAATATCATTCTGGGTTTTACCTTCACAGACTCATTTTCCTTAGCATTTTGCTAACTGTCACTGTCACTCTTTTGAGTGAGTGACTGGTAATGGATTCTTGGTATTAGAGTCCAATACTTTAGCCATGGAGCCTTAATCAGGGGAGGCTTTACAAGACATATTCATAGATGTCATTGGCTGTATGCTTTCTTCTAAACTTCTCAAAGTTTGAGATGCCTCTTATATCAACAATATAATTTTAAAACAACCGTTCGGTTAATCCATCACAGTTTTAGACCAAAACACTTCTGAAGAAATGCTGTGACTTTTATTTGTGGCCAATTGCCTGGGTTTTTTTTTTTTCACGCACCATACTGGGACATTTTTGTTTGTCTGTTATTTGTTATTTTTTCTTTATACTCAGTATCCATCTTTTGCCTCTGTAATTTTGTTTGTAAAAATCCCAATTACTTTTAGGTAGCTTATTGGTACCAAAATTAATGCCAGTCTATGTCAGACTACAGGGCATTATAGGGAAAGCTCTTCAAGGACTAACCCACATCTTCTACTCTATTTTGATCATGTGTACAGTCTCCAGTTCCGATTGGGGAACCTTTTGATTATACAGTACAACTAAACAAAGCAAACATAGTAATTTCCTAAAAGGCCTCTGAGAGTACATTTTTTATAAAGATTTTGTAGGAGCATAATAGAACAAAATTTGGTACATTGCTATTCTGAGGAATAATCAGCGTATCTGAGACAAGCATCCAAACATCTTTCAAAAACACTGTAAGGGATATACACGTCACTTATGGTATACCTCACTGTTTATCAGTGTTTCAAATCCCTTACGAAGTCATGAATGTTCTCTTAAGTTGTTAGTATTTAATTATACAAAAAATAAATACATGCTCATTGTTTTATTTTCATATATACCAAGACCTTTTCATAACACTAATACAATCCCTGTAGTTGAGCCAACTGTTAGGGCTAAAAGGGAATAAAAGTAGATACTGCATTTCTTTGCACAGTGGTCTTTATACACAGGTCTATACAGTGTGGCACAATAGATGATTTCCAATGTTCTGAGATGTCAATCTTATAAGCTTAATAAACTGAACTATCTTTATGCTGTTTCTGTGATGGTGTATTTAAACAACAGTTTCATCCCACACTTGACACATATGTCTCGTATCTATTGAGGTCTAAATCTCTCTCAGATTTAAGCTCTGTTTTTGACCCACTGACCATGTTTGGCTATCCTGATTATAAAAAATGAGAAAATCAATGTAATGTTGTCTTTCCTTCACAAAAAAGAAAAAAGAAAAAACAAGGAATCATGAGGCAAAAATAATCACTGTCTACATCAACTATGATGCAGGAGATATTTGTGCATTGAAAGAGATGAGCCATATTGAGGATTCCAAGGTTAAATGAGTTTATTGAGTTAGTGGTTACAATGGTATGTCAGATACCTGTAATCCAAGCTACGCCTACATATTTGCCTCTAAATTCTCACACTGTCAGTTTCCGTGTCTCTAAACATTCCACCACCAGGTCTTCTATTACTAATATTATAATAATAATCATAATAATAATCATAATATAAAAGGCAATGTCAATCACCATATTGTGCTTCATACTCCACCATAAGAAATTCAATTGGCAAAAGTAAACCTCTGGTCATATTAATGGGATTAATTGAAATGTGAGCAATCATAACACTACTAGAACATAAAGAACAAAATATGGTTTAAAAGAAGCATTTTTAAGATGAATTAGTTTGTATCTGTTTTAAAAATTCACATACTATAATGAAGATCACTTAAAAGTTATATCATTTAATTATTGGGCCACACATTTAAGCATATTGGCTAAAAAATTTTTTTACTGGAACAGAAGCAATACAAGCTTTATGGTCTACCATTACAATTCCATTTTTTTCACTTAATATACCTGCCAACCTAATGTTTCTTGCATGCATAAAAATTTCTGGGTTTAGACTTGAATTTACTATTTAACCCACACATACCCCTGTGATGTAAATTCTTTGGCCAATTTAATGCTATAGTTTAGTTTAAAAAGTAAGCTTGGAATAAGTCCATTTAACATCCGAAGAGAATGCCCTAAATTTTGGCATTGCAGAAAGTTAGTTACTTCAATAGAGTCTCAGGTTGCATGCAAATTGACACTGCTTCCCCCCACCCCATGCCAGACGCATACAAGTCGGCAGGTATGCATACAAAAAGAATATAAAACCCTCCTGGTAAAGCTTAGTGTTTTAGAATGAATCCATAGCTTTAAATTCACTTAAGGCCTGTACAGGGGAAATATGTTTCTTCTGGGACCCTCTCCTCACTCTTGTCTGATATTCTTCTGGCTTTTCTCGCTTTACTAGAGGTTTCTTCTCAGGGGCCTTCATCTTCCAAGATACAACTGGTGAGTTCACTGCAGCAGTACCATAGACCTTCTGATATTTAGTAGAAGCCACATAAGATGCTTTCACTGTAAGGACCACAGCGTTCATCAGATTTTTAGCTGCCTGGATGAGAGAAGTGGCACTGTCCAGCTACAAATAGAAAAGAAAATTAAATACAGCAAGGTTAGTCCACGAACGGATCACTGGACCATTTCCTGACTGAAGTCTGGATACTCTCAGATCTCATTAAAGATGAAATGAATCCTCTCCCTCAGGATTAATGAAGTAGCTTGTAGTAACAAGCACCAGCAACAACATGCACCAAACTGTAAAGGTAAGACTGTGGTACCTCACATTAAACTTTTTAATAATTCAAAGGAAAAGCTTGTGTTGGTTGTTTTTTTGTTGTTGATTCTTTTTCTATGGGTGAAGAAGTTGCCTCTTTTTTCACAAAAACACATTACTTCTCACTTAAACCCTTAAAAATTTACTTCTACACGTCAGAAACTGCAAAACAGGTCAACAGGGATTTCTCCAAGTGTTCAGGTTTGTTCTAATTATTCCTATTAAGCCCAGGATATCACTCCCAGTGATGTCTACAGGAACAGTGTGAGGCCAGTGCTGAGTTTGTTAGAGAATCCCATCTGAAAAGATGAAAGGAGATTTTGAAACCCCTAAAGAAATAAGAAGATGAAACAGTTAACTGCAGGTTTTTGTAGCTACTGTAATGTTTGAGCTGCCTGTGTTCACAAAGAATCTTACTTTATGATTAGCAGGCTTTTCATACATATACCCTTGTGTTTCTCCCATGCACGAGTCTGCCTGATGTTCCTGGGTCCTCTGGATGCAAGAGGCCTGAAGAACTTGGTGAACTTCAAACCATCGGGACTTCCAGTCAATAAACTTCCATCATACACTGAAATCAAGTACATACATACATACCCCTGGCCAAATTTTTAAAAGGATTTAAGCATATAATGGGACTTCCAAAGCAATGTCTCAATGCTCCAAAACGCGAATTAGGCACTTGCCAAATCCAACTGGAGATCCTTAAATTAGCAAGTACTAAAAATACATTCTTAAGCAACCTAGACTAGGGTTTTAGAATAGAATAGAATAGAATAGAATCGTTTAGGTTGGAAAAGACCTTTAAGATCATCCAGTCCAACCATTAACCTACACTACCAAGTCCACACTAAACCAATCAAGGGTAGACTAGACTAAACCATGTCCCAAAGTGCCACGTTTTTGAAACGTCCAGTTATCCCTTTCCCAAAATACTGAATAAGGGGGATATACTCTTTATGATAAAGCCTTTCAGTTCTACCACGGAAGCTGCCTCAATTTCTTAAAAAGTCCTTCCCAGTTTGTAGGAACAATTTTGGATGTAATATTATTTTAAATCTTTAATTCCATGCCTCTTGCTCAGTAACTTCTTAGGTATTTAGTATAAGAGGTCTGTCTCCCTCCAAACCTTTCCTCCTCAACATTTTGGGCCCATAGGATTCCTTAATATGAATTCTAAGCAGGGTAACCAGGATAAATACTCATAAGGCAATAACAAAAACCATGTTATACTTCACCTCAAGTATTTTGAATCATTAACGGAAGTTCAGGAGAAACCTCTTTCTAAAGTGTCAGTGACTGATGTGAACAACAATAGACATTAGAGAAAGTCTGCGTCTGGAACCACATTAATCTATAGACTTACCTATTATTTTTTATTTCGTCAGCTGTGGCCTTATACTCATTATGATTCATTAAATATATGAACAGCTACACACAGTGCGGTGAAAAACAAAAAAGCATTTTAATGATTTTCATGTACTTGTTGCCATTCCCTGAAATGCATAGTTAATTGCCTGCCCCCAGTAAATATTTTTCCCCAGGACTAATTTGTATTTTATGTTAGTAAAAGAAACTAAGTTAAAAGATGGAAAATTACATTATATGGCAGAAACACGACTGTTCAATAGGGAGTAATGAAATATAATTCAGTATAGTGTTATTCTATAACCACACTACTGCATGATTTATAAGGCAATCTGTATGTTTGTTGGCAAATAACAGATCATACTCTATTAAATTAGGATATTCTAATTTACTGCAGAGATCTACAATCAAGCATTATTCATTGTTAAATGATTCTTTTTGAAACACTGGTGGATTGATATCGAATATAAAGTGATACCGTCAAATAGTATTTACTTCATAATCAGTGTGGATAAACTGACAGGATCAAGCCTATATTGTGCATTCCTGAATGCATTCTATTTGTTGAAGGTTTCTAATAGCCATTTTCCAGCATTTCTTTATGATAAGAGTTCTGGTAGCTATTTTACATGGGGCATATTTTAAGGAACAGAATGATTAAAGGAAGCATTTTCAAATGAGGAGGCACCTAAATTAGATGCTTAAAACTATATAAAGGATGCAGTCTACATCTTTAAACACATTAGTAATTTTATGGAGTATATCGATAAAGGTGTGCAGAAGCATGTACTTCTGCAAGATTGGATTCGGATTGCTATGGCGTCTTTTAGAAAACCATGTTACATATTTTGATGCCATTTTAATTACCTCTAATTCCAATCTGCTGTTATAGTAGATAAGAGCTCCCTATTTTCACCATTATTAATCACATTTTAACATGCAGATATTTAGTCCTTGCCCTTAATATCCATTCATATTGTAAAATGCTTTCAAGTCTTGGAATCAGAAAAGAGAAATAAAAACCCCATAACAGTATTAGGCTATGTGTGTTCTCCAAAATATGCTGGTAGCCATCCCATGAAACCAATTTGGCTACCTAAGCACTTCCAGTGATTTTCTTATTGCCTCCAGCTCCTTGCTTATATTATGGCTCAGTAAAGAAGAATTAAACTGAACGAACATCATTTCAATTAACATTTAGATCTTACTACACCTCTGTGTTACTTTAGTTTTAAGCTGTGCTTTGTAATCAGCAGAGCTACAGTGGCATAAAGCTGGAACAAGGCAGCAGTGAATCAAGCCCTTAGTGCGTTGAATTCCTTAGAAAATCTGGGCACAGACACATATGCATTTTTCCAAACATAATTTTAATAATTAAAAAAAAAAAAAAAGGAAAATTAACATTTCAAATAAAAGTACCACTAGGAAATTATTGCACAGTACAGAAGGCAAACTTCACTCCCTAGCAATGGTTAGGGAATTATGAATCTAATGATAGCTTTTTGTGCTAAGAGCTAACAGAGCCTTTGACTTGCTACACAAAGTAATAGTGTTCTCCTACTTAGATCTCTCTACAAATACATTTGCCTCCACTTAGGAAAAAAAGCCCTCTTAAATATAAGAGATAAATTTAGGCTAGTGGCCCATAAAACCCCAAGAACAGAGAATGCTGGGGAAAATTCAAAATCCATAAAGAACCTAAGAATCACTGCACTGGAGCTGGTCACTTATCCAGGTTAAAACTGCCATCTACCCAGGAAAGGCATAAATCATTCAGAAAAAAAAATGAAAAAAGATTTTGCTACAAGCTAACTTTGTAATTAGTGAATTCAACGGTAGAACACTGGAGCAGCAGAGCCTATTATCTGCCAAGAAGGTAATTTCAGGGTTTTTTTCCCAAAAAAAAAATCCATAAGACTTTGCAGAGTTTTTGATCTGCTTATAAGCTGTGCTGCATTTTTCCTGCACTATATGCAGAATTTTCCAGAATCTTGTGGCAATCAAGAGTTCTTGCTTCTTTTACATATACACGTAATCTAAGTAAAATAACCAGCAATTACAATACCAAAATAGCTGAAGAAATGGGAGAGAATAAAGCTGGAAATTTTTCTCCTTAACATTGAAGTAAATGGAAAGAGATGTTCTCCCTGCACTGTCACACCACTGTAATGGGGAGGAATTATACCATAGTTCTTAGAAAAGAGAAAACTTAATTTCCAGAGATTTCTTTATATTTATAATCAGAAATATACTACAAAACATAAGGGAAATAGAGAAAAAAAAAATCTGCATTTCCAGTGAGCAAATATAGTATAGGTAGTTTTAAAAGAGCTGGTTGTTTAAGAATGTTCCATATCATTATTGTTGATTTTAATAAACCTTGAAAAGTGGGGAAAGACATCAAAAGAATTGTAGATAGTTCCTAGTCTAGAAATATTTGAGCAGCACAAATAGAATGACCTGTGAAATTATAGACCCGTTCAGCTGACAGTACTCCCAAATAAAATAATGCAATGTCTATGACAGACTCTATAAATAAAGGGAGGAAAGAAATACAGGTAATGGTAACCAAATGGCTTTGTGGGTAAAAATATTTTCAAAGTAACCTACAACATATTTTGATGTGATTAAACTTTGGATTGCTTAAAATAACGCTGTTCATATAATGCAGGATCTTTGAAAGGTGTTTTGCTTGGTAGTATACGACAGTTTGATTAAAAACTCAGCTGACACAAAATTAACAAGGCACATAGAGAATGATTCCAAATTCTCTAATAGCTAAGTTTCCAAAAGTATGTATACGCAAAAAAAATCATTGCTAAACAGTGACTTTTGCAGTGTGCTCTTGGAGAAACCATTTGTCACTTTACAATATTAACATTTCTGTTAAGAACTTGGAAAAAAGTCACTTAACTGATGAAATATCCAGATAACATAACAATTGGGAAAGTGGTAAGTCATACAGAGGGCAAGTGATTGGTATCTAGCTGGTAAAAGTCAGAAACGTAGATTTCAGTTTGGCCAACTTTATAGCAGATGATACCTACTTATGCAATAGGGAACTTTATCCTATGCATGATCCTAGGCAATCACTCCTTGAGTATACAAAAAGGAGGACACTGATGAAATAGGTTAAATTATCATATTCAGTTTATCATGTGTCCACAGTTATGGAATACTGAGTCCTCTTCTCAATGCAAGAACAACACTGAGGAACTGGAAAGAATTTAAAGAAACCGAAGAACAAAAAACATCTTTTATGGGAAAGATCGGCCTGCTCTGTTTTTTCCATTAATAAAGTGAATGATTAAAAAAATGAGTTGATGGAAATCAGCAAGTACATAGTAACAGAAAGCTGATAATATTTCAAGTTCAACAGATTAGACAAAGTTATAACAGAACTTAATGGCTGAAAGGTGAAGCAGGTCATTTTAGTT